CTGGCATCGGCGTTGACACGGTTTCATTAGTGGTCAAGTCGTTTCAGTTGCTCATGCATCGTGCAGGTAGCCTTCCCGCAGTCGTTTTCTACGATGTTCGTGCCGCATACTACCAGGTCCTGCGTGAATGCTTGGTAGGGGGCGGGGCCAACGACCGGGTGCTTCTTCATTTTTTCCACCGCCTGGGCGTCCCCTCGGCTGCCATTGGGGAGCTTAGAGATCATCTCTCGAAGCTTGCCTTTCTTGTCGACAGCGGCTGTTCGGCACACGCTGTAGCCATGATTCAGGAGATTTTTGTTGGCACATGGTTCAGACTGGACCACACGGTGCCATTGGTCGCCACAGAGGCGGGTGTCAGGCCTGGTGACCCGCTCGCGGATCTGTTATTCGCGATCACATTCAGCGCTTATGCCAGATCAGTTGGTGACGCGCTGACTCGGGCCGGCTTGGACACCGTGTTACCTGCCAGCAAGGTCCCTGCTCCCTGGCGTGACGAGAACAAATCTGTTGTGTTAGGACCTGCGTCGTGGGCAGACGATTTCGCTGCCCTACATTGTGCCACCGCCCCTGATTCCCTTGTGCATACTGTCCGAGTTGCTACTGAAGTGTACCTCACGCATGCCACCTCCAACGGCATTGAACTCGCTTTTGCTCCTGACAAGACCGCTGTGGTTTTTCCTCCCAGGGTCGGCTTTCAGGAAGCATTGGGTCTAGCTAGGGATGGGGACACCTTTGCACTCCCAGTGCGCGACGGCATTACAGGGTACATTCACAAGATGCCTGTCGTTCAGGCTTATAAGCACCTCGGAGGCATTGTGACCAGTGCCCATACAGTCGTGCCGGAGATCCACTTTCGCCACTCCCAGGCTTGTTGGACTTTACGCCCTCTCCGGGGGACTCTCTTCGGAAACCCCAGCATCCACCTTGCTACTCGCCGGCACATTCTGCAAGCCTTGGTTGTGTCCAAGTTTGTTTTCGGGTCTGCCACTTTGGTGTTGAGCGTAGCGGGTCATTTCCGGTTATGGGCAAGACTGTATACCACCCTGTTTCGGGCCCTACAACCCAAGACTGCCCTGCAAGGGAAACTGCATTCCTATACTGTGCTGGGCACTGCCGTTGCCTGTACCCCTCCGCTGGCACTTGCCAAAGCCCGTGCTGGTTTCCTTGGTCGTCTGTTGCGGTTTGGTCCTGCCACGCTGCGCCATCTGTTATGGCTACACTGGGAAGCCTCGCCTGGGCAGTCTTGGATTGGACAGCTCTTGGGTGACATTAAACATGTCTCCATGTATTGTGCAGGTGCCAAGGTGTTGCTGGCTGATTCTTGTCCAGTTACGGCCCTCCTCACTGCTATAGCTGAGGATAACTCGTGGTGGAAGCGACAGGTGCAGGCTGCCATTCGCGTTTGCCTTCAGGACCTTAGGGACTGGAGGCCTGCCCCCGCTGTGGATGCCTCTACAGCTTCGGCCCCCTGTGCTGATGTTCAGGATTGTAGGCCGTCGGACACTATGGACTTCGAGTGCCCAATGTGCTCCGCGAGGTTTCCGTTGCGCAAACATCTTGGTGTACACCTTGCCCGCGCACACGCTGTGGTTGCACCAGCCCGTTTGTACTCGCCACACCCCACCTGCGTTGCGTGCCTCCGTTACTTTCATACACTTCCCAGGCTGCAACAACACTTCAAGTCGGCCAAATCCTGTTTACTGCGCGCTGCAGAGCTCATGCCTCCAATGACTCTCGTCGAGGTCAAGACAGCCGAGCTGACGGATAAGACACGACTGAAGAAACTCAAGGCAGGCACTTGGCAACAATATACCTCCGCTCCACCTATTCTCCCTGCTTTCGGACCGCACCAGCCCTCAAGGGGCGAGTTACGAGACAGGCTGGGTGAAGACGCACCACTGTCTTTACTCGCTGATCCGGCGGTGGATCTGAGCGTCCGCGAGTGGGTACAATCGGAGGCTAGTTATACCACAACGGAGCCTAAGCGTACAGGTACTGCTTCCTTCTGGAGTCGCAGGGTAGGCTCGAGGGACTAGCCCTCCTCTTTTGATTTTGTATCTTCAAAGACGGTTTTTCATTGTCCTGCCGGGTACATCTTTGAAGATCAATGCGCTTTCGAGCCCTTGAGCAGATTTCTGCGTCAGCCACAGTGCTGAGCGCATACTGCTCTTTGTTGGAATTTAATGCACGATTTTTGAGACGCGTCAGTTGACTCTGTTGTCTTTGCAAGAAAAGAAGCTGGTATCTATGGATGCTTCGCATGCCTGCGCTCTTCTCTTCATGTTAGTAGCCAGTCGCGAACAAAAAGCTGAATCCCGCCATCAGTTCATTGCAGACGGGAAGCGTAGTTGGAGAAAGCCAGCGTGGCTATCTGCGCTACGAGATGACCAGTAGTGATGTGCTTCAGCGCCAGCCCCGTGTAGTCGTGCATCCCATCCTGCCACACAATCCCCGCGCATGCGCTTTAACGGAAGCCTCTCTTCTCCGAAGTCCCTCCTTGTCTTGCAAACCGGAGAACAAAACTCACGTCTCGCAAGTTACCCGGGGCGTCCTCGGCACACAGTACGACTGCCATGCCAACCGCGCGCATGATGACCTGAAAAGTGTTGGGCTGCTGGTCCAGTACGGTACGGCAAGCTCCGTTTCGAGCAGAAGTGAACTGTCAACCTCCCACTTCATGTCGACATGTGGCAGGCAGGCTCGTGCTTTGTCTACTTTACTTTACGAATGGGCCGAGAAAGTAATTGCGAACAGCCAGGCAGCAGTCACCGTGTCCATGCATCCCGCCATGACCTCGTGGCGGAAAGAGCGATATGCCTAGCATAACGACAAACGCTCGACGCGATGTGCAAGATGCAGGCGCTGCACTGAAATTTATAATGCCTAACCTGGATGGTCGACTGCGTATGGTGCAGCAGCACTGGCAGGCTTTTCGCCAAAGCCTTTGAGATTTGCCCACCGTTCATCGCTGGTTTTGCGGACTGCGAGCCAGGATGCATGACAAAGAGGTGAAGCTAAAGAGCAGCTGCGCTGGTTCTGTCTCTGAGCTGCATCCTATTACTGTGGATGTGTTGTTGAGCGCCCTCAAATCATGGCCTCCAGGAGCCATTTGGACCCATGGCGCTCGACGAGGTCGCCAAGCCCTTCGGGCGCACGACGACGCTCGAGCAGTAGCCACGCCAGGAGCCTCGGAGACTCAGCCCCGAGCGTCCAAAAGCTTCGACACCGCTTTGGTTCTGAGGATGACAGCAGATCTGCACATGTACAGGGGCCTTCACAAAAGAACAAAGAGCATCCATTTTCGTTTGAAAGGGGTCCGCTCAAGCGTTTATATCCGCCAAAACCCAAAGCTCCTCCTATACCTATACTGGACCAGGATGCATCGAGCCCAGCATGCCAAGGACCGGCCATGGGCTGCCACGTGGCCTTACGACTCAACGTCTCAGCCAGTGACATAGACATGTTTGACTGAGTTGGGGTTGGATTGCTGTCCTTTCTGCTGCAATGACACGACAATGCGTACACGATAGAACAACGCCAGGATAGCACCGCAACAGCATCTCGCACCTTGATGGCAACACCTTGCAGACCTACTCACTCCGATCTGCACGGAAACGTATGGCGAGATTTTTTCCATGCTGATGAGGTAGGTCATGTGTAGTCACTGTAAAAACCGTAACATGAGAAGCCGGTCTTCAAAGGAAACCCCTCATTTCCGGATTCCAAACAGGGCTTCTGCAGATTTTGACCGATCCAGGATGAGCTTCGGCTGGTTCTGTGCAAAGCCAAAGCTGCTGTTCCATGCCATCAGCTGCTGCAGCAGCAAGACCAACGCACCGAGCTTTGCAGCACGTATAGAGAAGACCATTGCTCGAGAGACATCGTCAGGTCGCTGTTGCTCTCTGTTCCTACATTGCTCCGCTTCAGCGATACTTCTGCGGGATCGATAAGAGCTGGGTCCGTTTTGAAATACACGTGTGTAACCTTGGCTTTTTGTGGTGGCGCTCGTTGAAGAGTCTGAGCCTCCGCGGTGCAACAGTTGCATGTCCTCAAGAGAACAGCCTCAAGAATTCACTATCGGCACGACTGCCTCTCACAGGCAAACCCGGATGCTAGGAACAAGGATGCCGGAAGCGCGAAGTATAGAGACTGCCCCTTGACCTTTTTCCTCTGCAAACCAAAGCCTTCCAACGAGGACAGGCAGGCTGGGGCGGCAAAGTGGGGATCACCGTCCCCGAACCGATTTTCAGTTGCAGGAGGACACGATGGCAAAGGTAGAGCCAAGCAGGCCAATTGATGATGAGAAACCAACTCCCGAACCCTTGACTTGTGATATGATGAGAGACAGCATCAAGACGTGAAGCAGTGCTGCCATGGAACGAATCAAACCCCCGCAGAACCGCAGGCTTGCCAGCTGTTGTCGCGGTGACGAGGCATCACGACAGCTACTTTTAGCTGGAAGAAACGCTGGAAAGGCGAATGCCAGACATCCACAACTCCATGATCGCGAGGCAAGACCTGCAACATGTGCCGAATGCCTGCACGCGTTCTCTCACACTGCCCTCAGGAGCCATCAAGTCTTGCAAAGATGTGCATGGGAGCGAGTAAATAGGTGCAGCGACTGCTATTTTCAGGAGTGCTGCGGTTGTGTACAGCAACTCAATGTCTGGACTGCCATGTGCTGACTGGCAGCCGTGGAAACATGTCTACAATTGTTGACGGCTTCTCTGGAAACCTTCCGAGGAAGATGTCCTTGATAAACATTGAAAGTTCTGGACATTTGTGCTGAACATAGCCTGGACGGCGGAAACCTGATCCTGCCAACCTGGTGTCGGCAAGTCTGCCCTCCAGCTGATAAAACAAACACCTCAGACAAGCCTGGCCAACCAGCAGATGCACCGCGCCGGGCGCGGTACACCGCCGCCAACTGGCAAAGGCGCTCTCGCTTAGCAAAGAGCTGCTTCTGAGCTCTCACCACTACGGCGTTGTGACGCTGTGCCTCAGCTACGCTTTTCGAAGGCTGCCAACCGGGCCTCCATCTCTTTGAGATCAGGATCGGCCTTGATTTCCTTGTTGCTGTAGCCGAACTCGGTGCGCAGCTTGGCCTTGTACACTTCAATGTCGCCTTGAAGCTGTGCATACTCCTTCTGTTCTTCGGCACTAAGCGGGGTCTTCTTCTTGGCATCCTTCTTGGCGTCCTTGTCCTTCTTGGAGCTACCTGGATCCTGCTTTTCCTTCAGCTCGTTCAGGCGAGTCACCATGGATACTATCTTCTCGTTCTTGTTGATCTGGCCGCCGCTCATGCCCTGCTCTTTCAGGATGGCCTTCTCCTCGCACAGGGACCAAGACGTAATCATTCAATACGAGCCCAGAATCACGAAGAGACCCTCGATCAATGCCATCCCACACTGCGTGCTCAGAAACCTGTGCCTCTACCTGAACCAGACATCACCTTATGCCTGTGTTTATGCAAATGGCATGCGACACTCGTCCTCGATAATCTGCTGCTTCAAGCTTTCGAGCTCCTTGAGCTCATCGGGGCTGAGGCCTGCGCTCTCCTTCTCTTTCTTCTCCTTCTTGTTGTCCTTGCGGGCCTTCTGCTCGGGGGCCTCCTGCACGGTCTCCGGCTTCTCGATCTGCGGAAGCACCGCCGCCTTCGTGACGAAGTGGCCGAACCTCTACTCTTCGACGGCAGACTACAGATCTCGTTCTTTGGAGGTTTCTGACAGACTGCGAGTGTCAGAGGCAAAGAACATACACAACGGAATCTCTGAAAAGGGACTATTTCTGAATAGTCAGGGAACTTTGGCTCGAGCCCCTTGACAATCTTGCAGGCATCCACGTACTTGTGTTCGTTCTTCAGCTCGGCTATCTCCTTCCCCTTGGCCGAGCGCTCCTTTTTGTTGTCTTTGCCAGTCAGCTGGTTCGATTCCGTCTCCAACTTGGCGATCCTTGTCTCAACCTCTTTCTGATAAGCCTCGGCCGCCGCGCTGTCGTACTCAGCACCGGAGGCCTCCGTGGCTTTCAACAGCTTCATGCCCATTTCTGCCTGCAATTCGAGCGCCCCACCCTTTACTCGGCCATCGAC